TCCGAAATCTTTCACTTCATGTCGATATTTTTCGTGGCATTTTCTTTTTTTATTCTTATATTCTTTGTCCAAAGTCATCTTAGAACCCAAGAATTAAAAATTTTTTTTCGAGACTTAATCGAGCCGAACATTTTTCCACTGGTGACTTTCTTTCCCGATAGAACTCGCGCAGTATTATGACAGACAGTCCTTGTTCACATCTGGAATAATCTCATATTTGTGGAGAAGAGAAAATGGGCGAAATCTCTCATATCAGCCATGATCTTTGAATTCATGATACAACTTCTATTAAACTTGATGTACGTTTGTATAAAACTCAGTTGTCAGGAGCAGGGACTATAAGGCCCGTGATGTTGTCAGCGATTATTCGTTCGGTGAAATAGCCCTGGAAGTGGCGTGGTGGCAGACGTCTGATGTTTGAGAGGCGAATAAATTGTTATTTCACTCTCTGATGTTTATGCTACTCATTCTTTTATTTTCTCCGCTGACAAGTTGCTGGAGCTTCCTTTCAGGGACATCAACAGCTCACTGACGGGGTGCCGAAGAGCAATGTCTGTATGAACACGGAAAATTGTGCATGAACATCAAATATATTTTATGTACATATTCCTGTGTTTAATAAGCTTTAAATTTTTCGAAAACTTTTTAGTATAATTATTGGTTGTGGCCACTGGAACTAAAAAGTAATTGTTGCTTATCAAATGCGAGCTTTTTACTATTGACAACACACCTGAATTATTCATGATCATCTGCTGATTGATTGGAATGTAATTGAAGATAATTGTTCAATCCTAATGGAATATCTTAAATCAATGCTTCGACTTTTCTTATTCATGAAGCTGAATCCAAATAATTAAACAAAAAAATGGTTCAATCGGAATCGGATGATCTTTATTTTAGTTTGGAAAACAAATTTTATACTTTCGGGAGCAATCGGCCAACTGAAATAACTTATTGCAGGTTTTCGTTCATAATGGAAAAATTTTATAATAGAATTCCAAAGCAGACAATCTATGAAGTTTCACTAGCAACGAGGACTACCACTATTCTCTATTAAGTTACTACTATTGGTTAAGGGTAATAAAAAAGCAAAGATTTATGGCAATTATTTGAATGTGTTGATGACCCGTTGTTGATGGCCCGGAATGAGGGTCGGGTCTGGTAAGAATGTGTGGGTATTTAAATTAATAGAATCCCGGCATGCACTATCCATTAATGTGGTGGCTAGAGCTCATTGGATGTGTTCATTCAAATAGGTTAAAAGTTACAAATTTCTTCCATAAGTTAACTAATTAATGTGGCTGTGATTATTCTGGACGAGCTCCCTGTTAATGGGTATTAATTAATATAGTTGGAATAATAATAACATATATTATTATTTGTTATGATAATATAATGCACAGCATAGCAGCACCTCTAACGCCGCAAGCAGAGGCCATCTGATTGCGGTCCATCATGTTATTATTATAATTATTATTATTTTTATCAGCCTGTTGAATTGAAAACAAACAACTTTGCCTGATTTAGAAAATTTAAAATCCTTGCTACAAACGCTCAAAAGTTATCTATATATAATGAAATAGGTTCAATAGGGAATTAACCACAGTTGAAAAATACTGAAGATTTGTTTTTTATGCAAAAAGTCACGAGTGATAAAAAAAATTACGAAATGTTACGATAATATCAATTACGTTGTTTTAACTCGACAATAAATATATTGTTGCCACCAGGATGCATCTGAATAAAGATCGTCAATAGCATAATTTTTGGTTATGATTCAAATTGTTCATGTATCCTGCTTAAATTCTGCGAAAAAAAGTATTGAAATTTTCATGAATTAAAATAATTTTAATCTGTTTTACAGCCTGTTAAGAAAATTTTACCTCGAAACAAAAACTTAATCTTAATTGATAACTTTGTCAGACACTGAGGAAATATGTCGTGATATATCATGCTTCAACCCTCAGAAGGATTGTTTCAATAGTGTTCATTTTTCGAAATAAATATGATATATTTTTCAATTTTAGTATAAAATTGCATATTGTAAAGGAACTAAATCTTATTTGCCTGCACTTTTTCTGACCTTATTTTTCACCTCTACTTTCAAGGGATCACCGCAGACCTCACTGCATTGTGCAAATCAGGTGTTAATGACATTGATGAGTTTGATAGGCACTAATTCCAATGGAATATTTTCGAGAACTTATGCATGCGATTCAAGATATATAGGAAAACTTAGACTGGGAACTAATTTTCATGACCCATGCAAAATGCTTAATCACATTCAATCATTTCAAGGCTCCAGAATTGTGCTCGCCCATAAATTCAAATTAAAGGGATATAACTGATTCAAATTACAGCAGAGACTATTTCAAAATGAATAAATTTTGATAACATTCTTCATCTTTACAGGCACATGTTCTTTTCGAGGTTGAAAATATTTCAGACTGAAGTCGTCAAGAAAGCAATAACCGCTTCAATACGAGTCTGACAGATCGATATCAGCTTTGCTATTCTAGCAACCAAGCCCTGACCACTCACGTACCTCAAGTTGTGCCAGACGTGCGTTAGTAATGAGCAATTATTGACCATGCTAATTGCAATTGATGTTCGAAATTACTGTTACTACTAATAAACAATCATTGCCTCGAAAGAATTTCAGTTTTAGTTCTTTATGTGTCTATGTCCCATTATTGAATGTGTTCCTTCAGTCGGAGATGAGAAATTCAAAAATATCGGAAAAATTTCATAAGCTGCGAATCGTTCTTTATACTGCTGACATATATTACTTTATAAACCTTTTAACATATTTTATGCGGGAATGTTTAAGTCCAATAAAACTGGTTCATAGATTCTGAAATACATATTTTCTCATTTGTGGCAACGCAAAGCGTTTGATTCTGTTGATTTTATTTATTAAGTTGCCTCAAAAAAAATTATCAGTTACGAATTTGCGAATTTGCTGGAGCAAACGAGATACAATAACAATGCGGCATACTACAAATAATTTTACATACATAGAAACTCGTCAGGTCTACCCTGAAACTGATGGGCCACGTATTAGAAATAACTATAGGATTACATATACTATTCTAGTGCCGCACAGTCAGTGCCTTCTCCATAGTCCATTCGGTTCCAAATAGCCCAAGCACAGCGATGGTTAGGCTGTTGCAGTGGCTCTGCTCCCAAACCATTCCCATGTTGCGATGCACAAAGTATGAATGAAGCCATTCCAATTGTTTTGGAGGAGGCAGAAAAATTGGTTTGCTCTATGAGTGAATGTAAAACCAGACCGTCATGTACCACACAAGAATATGTTTCATAGACAAGGTAGAAGGCGTCGTCTTGGAGACATGCCGCTAAAGGCTGCTTGTCTCCAATCAATCCAATCCAATCAATCGTACAGGCGGCATGTCTTCATCATTACTCTCACAACACTAACTGTCACTACCCTCACTACCATCAGTACTCTCACCATCATTATCCTCACCATCACTACCCTCACCATCACTACCCTCATCATCACTACCCTCACATCACTACCCTCACCATCACTACCCTCAACATCACTACCCTCAACATCACTACCCTCACCATCACTACCCTCACCATCACTACCCTCGCCATCACTACCCTCACATCACTACCCTCACATCACTACCCTCACCATAATTACCCTCACCATCACTACCCTCACCATAATTACCCTCAGCTTAACTGTTCTATATCTTACTGGGAGTACATCGTAGCTCAGTCTTTGTACATACGTAGCTGATCTTCAAACCCGTTCATTTTGAATAGCTTGTAGAAAATGTATTTGTGGTTTACAATACCAGCAGAAAGCGCCAGAATTAAATCATTAAGTGATACATGTACCTAAATCAGGTAATAATAAAATATATCAGATCATTTATTATTGCCGTTATATTTCGTAGTATTTTGATCCACTCCTAAATTATTATTGTATAAAATATTTCAGATTCTTCAACTCAATTTCATTCTTGACGGAAATCAAAAAATAAATTCTAAATAATAGGTTAACTTTATAACATCATCAATCATTGTCTGCAAGAATATCCATGGAAATTGAGAACTTAAACTTTTACTGTCGTAGTTCACTGGATGACGCCATTTGATTGGCCATCTCATATATTTGCGAGGTCATCTCTCTGATGAATGCGTCCAGGGCGCTTGCATTCCCGTAAAGAAAAAACATTCATGAAAAGATTTAGTATTCCTTCGGACATAACGCGGAAAAATAGGGCTAAATGTTTGTGCTACAGTGCAGTTTCACGCGCAAAAGCTCCCGCAACTTTTCTCTTTAAAGAATGGGATGCCCCGTCAAACTATAAGAAACTAGAAACATTTTTCTTTCAAACACAAACATGTCAATGTAAAGGCTTAAATAAATTAATGTAACGCCTAGCTAGAGTTCGTTCTCTATTTAATTGTCGTTCATAGATATCTCCAGTAATTCGTCTAAGCGCAATAAGGTTAGCTCTGCACCATTATTCCATATATTGACAATATAAATATGAAATAAATTATATTCGTACAAAACTTACAAGACACGGAGAGGTTGACTGAATCTTCTACGTTATATTGTAGTTTACATGGAGAGTCATTATTGTTCCAACTATTTTTCTTCATTTATCGGTACTTGTTATGAATGTCATCCAATGTTGTTATGCTTTTAGCGTCTAATATTCTCATTTCAATTAAATCAATGGAACGAAAGACTGGACTGCGGAAGTAAGATAAGTCATATATGACTGACAATAATGAGATGGATTGGATTTCATGCTTCCTAAATCCCAGTAATACCAATAATGAACCTCAAATTCAATAAGTTACATTTTTGAGCAAATGAGTGACTGTCATTCGATTATTCTTGAAGCCTCTAACTTTGAAGATTAAAATTGGAACGTCAAAAACAATTACAATATTATATATTACACCACATATTATCAAATTTTATTTGATTTCAAAAGCAAGGAGTGTCTTAAATAGGATTATACTGATTATATATATCAATTGATTATAATAATATAAGTAAGTGTTACATGAGCAATACACACGGACATAAATTCGAGCTGAAAATCACACGAGTTGAAAGACAAAAGTGAAGTCAGGAGAATTTGATTCTCCGTGCAGCTTGATAATTGAGAGTCAAACTTCTACAAGGTCAATATTCAATCTAATGTGAACTGAGCTGTGAAGACATTGTTAGGGATTAACTAGAAGGTGGTAAGATTGCAACTTATTGCAGGCCAATGCATGCGTTCTAATGACTTAGGATTAATAAGTAAACGAAATTTAACAGCTTGAGTCTCGCTCTGCTCTCACTTAAGCCGCCAATGCATCACCTCGTAAGTAATTCAACTCACGCCCCACATTTTGTGGTAATGCGGAGTAATTAACGGGATCAGGGAAATGTCGCCAAGACTGGAAATTTAGGTTATGTAACGATGATTGTGAATGCGTGTCATGAATCCCGATTCCATTGCAACGATTATTTACTATAAATGAAGCCCATTCGTTCGTGAAGTAGAAGAGAGAGAGCGCGATCAACCTTCGGCAAGCGTTACACATAAATTCATACCATTTTTAATACTACAGATTGGGTATCGTTTCAGCGGTCTAATTTTTGGCTCCTGCTGTTTGTTAGCAATAGAATTAGGTATGCCAGCATCAGCGGTCTAACTTTTGGCTGTTATTGTTTGCCAGGAGATGAAAGTATGCAAGCAATTCGTATAATTTGAAGGATTTGAGCCAGATTAATCATAGTTATTGGTTAGCTAATGGAAAAAGACGCATTCAAGTCTTTTCAAGCCAGTGAATTCAAGTCTGCTTGCACAGAAACATGTAGGCTTTGGCACAAGGTGCATCGGCCAGATGATACCAGTAACTGTTTCCAGGTTCAAGATACATTCCCCCACAGTTGGGCTCTGGGTCATTAGGGTCAGATTTGCCCCAGAATGGTGAAGGGTGAGTGGTTGCGATGGTTCCGCCTCCGAGCCATTGCCAAGTGGAGTCCGGAGCATGGATCAGGCCAATCCAGAACAGCGTGTAAGGGGCTGACAAAATAACACTTCATTACTCAGATTTTACTTTTTAATCAAAAACCGTAGTGATATGTGTCTCTATACGAGTTTAGCAATTAACACATATTTTATATACATTTAATTCACCGATGGTTTTTTTTATTCGACTGGCTCAGTACTTCGGGCAATGGATTATAATTATGTGTGTATACACATCATTTTAGACCATCTCCGCTTTGAGGATCTGAAAGATAAAATAGAGGCATTCGTAAGTTGATAATATTATAAATTGATTTAAATCATTTTTTAGAAAATGTAGGCGCACTGATGGCAACTATGCTGAAGTCTTCTTATTAACGGAATATTCAAAACTAAAAAATGATACGCTTCGAAATATAGTTTTGGGACGCTAAGATATTCACAGATAATAAGAGCGTGCCATGAGTCACATGCTTGAGTCATTTGAGAGGTTTAGTATCATTACGTTAGCTGGACTGAATATAAACATATTATCAGCAGTCAATGAATTTGCGATTCCGTGCTTATTTTCGAAAATCAGGCTATTTACGGGAAAGTGTGAAATTTACCGACATTCTCACTGTCCATTCCGGACTCACGACCGTTATTCAAGAGGTAATCGTGCATGACGTAGAATTCGATCGAAAACGAACGGTGAAGAGGTAAAAGTCGAAGGCACACGTTCACTCATATTTCATGACTCCAAGAACAATCTTAATCATGATACTAGTAGTTCAAATAAATGAGGCTGATCAATAGTACAGATCTGTTTTATCAAGTCCAAGGCATGCCATTTTTATGGTGTGGAGTAGACCAATCTTTGGAATCGGAATGAGGATCGGATTTCTAATTAGAAAAAAAGAGAAGAAATCTCGAAATGAGGGGAGTGCAAAAGGTACGCTCATTTACTATTTGAATAAATTAGTAAATTATCAAATAAATTTTCTACAACATACTAGGGAAATTCTTCAAGAGGTATTCCCTCATTGCGTTGAAGTCAATCAGGAAGTTGGCGGTGAAGAGTTGGGAGTCGGAGGGACAGGACGCGGCGGCGGCGGTGAAGTTCAGTGCGGCGGTGGAGACGTAAATGCAGCCCACGTTGTCCACAAGCGTGAAGCCAGGCAGGCATACCAGGCCTCGTTCCCAAATATAAATTGTGTTGAAAATTACTACCTAGTTTTCATTTTTCAATTTCCGCGCCCATGAAAGTCCTGAACGTATAAGCTGAGCCCTCCTCGATGCTGCAGCAGACGCACAGCAGCGCCCCGAGCGCCGCAAGCAGCCGTAAGTCCATCTAGTTGAGCTGAATTTAATTCAATGCAAGTACTCGTAAATACTCGCATTAAAATATCAAGAATCTGTTCTACGACTCCTTAAAATTGTAATAAATATGAAAAATTGGAGGGGTTTAAAAATTTTTTGCCTTCATCATCGATCACTATTGTCATATTAAATAAAAATTTCGCACACGATGCAAAAAGAAAAATTTAATGAGTGTAAAATAAATTCAATTTTAATGAGGATTTCTTTCCATTCCATAACGATGTTCTTGATGGTCAAAACAATTATTTGAGAATTTTTGAAGGAAACTTTAATCTGGTGATGCACCAAAATAGAATTGCTACAATATGTATGTATTGGCATTGGATGACACGGGGTGTTATAAATACTTATACTGTTAGGCTTATACAAAACATCAAACAAATGGAACTTTTATTTCAGAGATGACTGGTCCAAAGCTTGAGAAAGCAGACGTATTCACAAAACATTAAGGACTGAACCAAGTCCCGAAAATTAACGCTTGGCAGCGGTTCCGATACAGGTTATCGCCGTTATGCCGACGAATAAACCCGGCCCAACATAACTGTAGAAGCAATAAATATCCAATAAATTTTACAATTCTGCATTCCAGTAGTAGTATTCCAGTGTCGCAATAAGTTTCAATCAAATACATTCATATAAGCAAAGCATTACACGTTTTACACACCATGATATACGGAAGGCTCTTTCTATCGCAAACAGTGTCGCTGAAAGTCCTCATAAAAAAGATCGAAGGTTGGTTCTCACCGGATATGCAGTTATTCTATCGAATAGAAGGAATAAATAGCTGTTAGATAGTTGGTAATCAAATCATAAGTTCCATGAACATAAATGTAAGACGCAATATGTCACTATAACAGCCTCGGACCCACCTTAAAATCTTTAGCCACCAAGCGGTTAAGCTGCAACTTTAAGAGGCTTGTTAAGAGGCCATGTAAAGGGAAATTATGATAGTAGAAAGGGAGGACAGACTCCAATAATTAACTAGCAAGTTGAGCTTAGGAAAGCATCAAGCCTTCCCAAAAGGTTAGGAACAAATATTTATTTTAAGTAAAAAGCCGAAGCTCAAAAGTCAAAGTGGTCATACCACAAGAAAAGGCAAAGCCAAAATTCAACACTGGAGTCGGTCCTATCCTAATCAAAGAAAGCACGAACATGCATAATAAACGAAAATAAATAAAACGAAAAACAAAGAGTGATCACTCAAACTTAAATACAGAAATTAGGAAGGAATGGCTTAATACACTCCTATGGAGCAAAATTAAACGGATGTTTCCATCAACAAGTCTTTCAGCCAACTCCTACTATTCACAAATTCATACCCAACAATAGGTATGAAGAAAAAGAAACTTAGAACCTAAGAAATGTGGAAATTTCTAACAATACCTATAGGGGTTTGCATTAGTATTCTAAAATCAAAAATTTGGTTTTGGCTTAGTTAAGAAACCAGGTTCATAATCATACATTCATAATTAAAAAATGAGTAAAAATTTATTACAAAAATTGTTTTTTCATTCCTGAATTTTTCAAGAAAAGTATATCATGAAATGAGTAATTACAATCAATCACAATTGCCTGAAAATTATGTGTACAGTGAAAAACGTTCTTAACTCTTTCCCCCAAAAGAATACACAGCTCACTGACGCTGTAAAGCAAGTCGACCTGGGCATGATTACAATTCAGGTGGTGCATGTACATGTATATCGTTGTGATCGATGCGCCTCGGATTATGCGAAACTTTTCTGATAGAGATTACTGACTTGTGTCTATGATGTTACGTTCAGGGGTCCATTTTATACGAGAACTCATTCCAATAAAGACACTTGGAATACTCGATCGCATCCAATCGTTTGGTTCAGAAATGAGGAATGGCGTAAATCACAGAGGTGAAACTTCTCACTTGCAAAACTTTTCTAAAAGAGATAATTGACTTGTGTCTGCGATTGTACGTCAAGAGGCCCATTTTATACGAGAACTCGTTCCAATAAACGACACTTGGAATACAAGATCACATCCAATCGATTCTGATTTTACCTCTTATGAAAAGAATTTTTTTATCATGAACAAATAATTTTTGCGAACCTTATTTCATACTACTCCTAATCTTTCTACTAATCATACTACTCCTAATCTTTCTACTCCTAATCATACTACTCATACTAATACTTCTCTTAGTCATACCTAATCATGAAATCTCTCTTTATATTTAGTGGAAATATTGGACCACGTCTGTAATAGAGCGGTTATCGCTCTCTATTCGGGGACCGCCTATAGGCTTTGGCCGAATAGTCACGACACTCGGCGCAAAGTTATTCTAGGTCTGCTTGGCCACCCGATCGAAATGAGTTTCTGATAAGAATCTCGAGTGTTTAGACGTTTCCGACTTTACAGTCGTTTGAGAGTATGACAAGGGTTGGCAGAGCCTAGCCGAGTCATGCGGAGCTAGCAAACCGCCCAGAAGCTGCCCTTCGAACCTTGAGCCGAAGCGGACATAAAGAAGCTGATTTACGTAAGGTCCGAGTACTGGGTGGCCCTAACACAGGGTTACACACGCCTTTAAATTTTGTTATAGATGCGAGGTTCAGTAAGTCCTTGCATGATAGTAATCGTAACGAGTATTGGAGATGTGGGGAATGTGACAGTGCAATGATAGCTTAATTCTTGAAGTATCTACAAATTGAAACAAAAATCTGAGAAAATTCTATCCATGAATCAGGAAATGCGCAGAAATCTTGGTCAGTACAATCTCAACTCTAAATTGTACAAAGTTGAGTAAGGCAAGAATTGGGATGTGGAGATAAAACTACTGATAAACAATTTGGCGCCTGAATTGAAATTTGAATAAATGTGTCCTTAAACGAATTTATGCTTCGATTAGATGTAGTTTAAGAGCTGCTAATTAAGGTATTGCTTAGCCAATAATTCAAGTTAGGCCAGACGTACTGTGATTGATTACTCTGAGTAATCCAGATTTTGTCACAATGACTCGAAATTCATCTTAAGAGAGAATAAATGCGGAATGTATCTAAAAGGAAAGCAGCGCAACAATGTTTTATTACAAACATAGCCAATTTATTCGCTGCAACATAGCAAAAACAAGCGCCATTTGAAAACTTTATACAGTAATTCATCACATTCTTTTCGTCTTAGGCCGGTTTCATAGAAGCAGTTTTAATTTTTCGTTAATGGTTTGACATGAATTACAGATACGTTAACATATCTCAAATAATTTTGGGGACCTTTGCTAAAAAACGCATGTAAATGTAGGTGTGCTGAAGGCAAAGGAGGTGAATTATTCATGCCATTTCGCGCCACTAGATTCAATTCCGTTTACATATGAACGAGTTGCTCCGAACACAGGGCAAATCGGCCAGATGGTAGAAGTAACCTATGGTGGGATTGAAGAGCATTGCTGCCCTGTCCGTAGCACTTGGCTCGAATTTACGTAGGGCGATGGGTGGCTAGTCGGGATGGTTTCACCACAAATCCATTCCTAAGTTGTTACATTCGGCGTTCGGTCCAGGCCAATCCGAATAGTCTTGGGAGAGGCTGCAAAAATGGCGCGTGTTTACTTCCGTTTTATGTCTTAAGTGAAGGAAAAATAGTAATTTCGACAAATGTTACTACCAGTGGGAGATGAAATGCGTTATTTATTGCTCCAACTGTTTTTAGCGCATTTTCTCATCTATGGGAAAAAGGCGCCATTGTGCTCATCATGCCCGTCCGTCCGTCCGTCTGTTCGTGACTTCACGTTTTCGTCGACGAGAAAATGCGCTCTCTGTCACTCACTGCAGTGAGTACTGAGTTATATTTTTTTCATATCCAGGCAGAGTCCTTGCTTGTTCTCAAATGATATATAGTTATGTTTTAATGTGCTGGGGTCCGTCAGCTTGATTCATCGAAGTGCTGATTCAATAGCAATAATAAAACTCCCGTATGTTTGGTGGTCATCAATCATTTTTCAGTGTTTACCGGTTATGATGGACACAGGTAATGAGTTGAATCAGGGGTGATAATGTGTAAATTCTAAGAGCAGCAATTGAGGAGTGATTAAACAGATTCTTCAAAAAAGCACTTGAGGATTTTTGTTGACCTAGAATAATTCCATCAACAATTTATATTTTGTGTGTCTACAGAATGAAACATTTTTAGCATTATGTAAGACAGGACTGAGGAAAAGACAGCGATAGTAATTTTTAATTAATCAATGAAACTGATAATTTAACGTTGACTTATGTCGTCCATAAAACAACGTTTGAGCTCTCTAGAAGCAGCGATCTTTATATTATGTGCTTCAAGCATAACGGAGTACCATTTTAACTTGATCATGAACAGAGGGATAAATGGAGCTAATAAGTAAATATTAAATACTGTCATATTTTTGTATAAAGCTGGACAAAACTTTGGGAAGCAAGGAAACTAATCAATAGGAATTGAGGTCAAACAAAACAAGATTACAAGCAAGTTTCAAATAGTATTTTCTTTAATGAAAATAACTAAATGGCATTAATGCCATCATCCCTAAGCTTGTTCGGTACTGCCTCCAAAATTTGCGGTAGCGACTCCACTTCACTGGGTGTGAAGAGGCAATGGAGTTGCGCCTTGCTTCCGCGTCTGCCCAACCCGTAAATCCTGGACAATCAAAAACGAAACGGTGATTACAGTGATCATGAAAAAAATGCTCGGACGTTAAAAGGGCTCAATGCGAAAAAAGTCCTTTTTANATGTGTAGTAGCTTGCATGGGAGCACTTCTCGTGACATTCTCTAATGATCAAGTTAGTAAGTTTACTATCTTTTGATAGAAGCAATGGGAACTTTATGGTTTGTTCCAGAGCAGGACGATCGAATTTACTTTTAACTCTAAGCATATCAGAATTATCAACGTAAACGTTCAACTGTAGGACAAGAGTTGGAATATCTTTTAGTTTTTTATCTTTCTTTTCAAAGTAAGTGAAAATATCACGAAAGGGCAACTGCTGATCAAATTTAATCAAGTTTCGTTTAGCTTCAGTCAAAATGCTATCTTGGCCAATTGATGTAAAATGCGGAAATCGCTGCGGATTTTTCTCGCGACATCGTGTCTTCAATCGATCAACAAATAACATCACCTTAGAAAGGACGCCGGCAAGTCTCTGAAATGTAGAGCACTTGGAGAGAAGGATGGGGTAGAAATGATCCTCATCCATACGAGCGTCCGTGCCTGTACATGCGAAAGCATCGACCGCATTCAACTCTGTTGAAGGAACGGCGTTAGGAATGGTCACGGTAAGCAGGTCACCGCGGCTAGCTGTAGCTCTGTTGATTTCCGGCTCTCTGAGGAAATCAGGTCCACTAAGATAATTAGTTTTAATTAGCTGACCATAAGAAACGCTTCGGGTGATGAAATCTGCGGGATTTTCCACTCCTGAAATAAAGGAGAAAGAAATGGGAAATTTTTCACAAAGTTTCGCAATACGATACAACCTATTCATAATGAAAACTGATCGCTTCTGCATTTTATCCATTTTAACATTAAAAGAATTAAGCCACGAAAGCGCAACCAAACTGTCAGTATAGACCTGAAGATTAGTTATCTTAATTGGACAGAGACATGATTCGCTGGTTAGTTCATTGAACAAGTCTATCAAGCATTCGGTAGCAAGGGTAATCCCTTGCACCTCTAAAGAAGGAATACTTTTGTTCTTTAGTTGCTTATTCACCATTCTATTCTTGGCGAAAACAAATGAGCAAGATTTTTGAGTGATATTCAGCACATACACAACAGTGCCAAAAGTTTGTTTACTGCTATCAGCAAAGTCAACAATTAAGACAATATTCATCAGAGCGATTTCCGACAAATCGTGGCAATTTCAAACCTCTGGGGCCGTATTATCAAAACTTCGTAAGTACGCAAAATCGACTTACGAGTGGCGTTGCTACTAGCGGTGGTATTATCAAAACATTTGAGCGGGAAACATTCGCGCGGGAAAAACATTTACGCTTTTAGCTAAGACTTGCGTATGAAAATTTTGATAATGCCAAAATTATGGTGTATATACGTACCATATAACTTTTTTGTCGTAAGTACAAAAAGTGACGAAGTTTTGATAATCCGGCCCCACTGAGCGGCATTTGCTTGTCGAGCGATATTCTTCCAATTCTTTAAGGACGATTCTGGAAGTTTTTCGTCCCATTTCAGCTTCTGATCATTCTGAAGCTCGTGCATATAAAGTCGAGCACGGTTCATTATTGGCCCGTTAAAATTGAATACGTCGTATTGAGAGGCAATTGAGCTCAAAATTTCACGCTTTGTCGAGGCAGTTGGGTTAAGACGGATGTCTCTAGTGCAGAGGTCATCTGACTGACGATCCCATCGCAATCCCAACAATTTGACCACAGACGCAGTTTGGCCAACATTTTCGTTACTATCAATTTGAGCTTGAAGATCCTGGTTATTCGAAATAAATTGCTGCAGACCGAAATGGTATGGTTCAAATATAGACGCAAGTTGATGGTAGGCCCACTTAAGGTTAGCTAGGTTATTGAAAGCAACCGCACAATTATCCATGTAAGACAACTGATAAATAAGCTTTTTGAGATCGCGCAACTTAGGCGAGTTTTTCTGCGAGTCTAACACAAGAATTTTATAAAGAGCAAGCATCAACAGAGTTGGTGAACACCTGAGCCCAAATGGGATGGCTTGTGGCTCATACAGATAAAACTAAGTTGATGCTCTTTACTCCCAGACCCGTTTCCTTTCTACGTGACATCACCTTCAATGGTGAAGGTTTTAGAATGGGTCGATGATTTTAAATATCTTGGTTTGATAATCGATTATAAGTTTTCCTTCAATAAACACATTTATAACTACGTCTGTCAGGGGCTGAGTAAAGCCCACGGAGTCCTGCGTGCTCCATCTAGTGTTTTACCTATTCCATCATTATATAAGAACGCTTTTTTACTCATTGTCCTTATCTAAACTATCAAACACGTTGCTAATCTGGGGTGGGGTACCTTTTAATTCAAAGAAACAGGTCATCACCTTAATTAATAAACCATTGCGTACAATATTTCGGGTTAGGTATGATGAAAACCATATCCCATTGACTCGTACTAGTGTGTTATATAAACAGTCGAAAATTCTAAAACTTGACGATATGTACAAATTTCAGCTTTTAAAATTCATGAATAGGGCACTTTTCCATGATGAACGTCTTTTTAATTCTGCATTCGCCTCTCTTGTTCCTCAACATTCCCATGACACCAGGGGCATGCGTTTTAACTTACCCCCAGTTCGGTTAGAAATGGAAAGAAACGGTACTGTTTTTAATTGTGTAAAATATTTTAATAAATTGCCTGATGAGTTTAAAATAGATTGTTCAAAATTCATTTTAAAGACCAAATTCCGCGATTTTATTCTTACCCAGTATTAATTTGACTTCGATTATCATGTAAGATTTTATTAATTGCCTTTCTTAATAAGATCTTTGATAAATATTATGGTGTAAGTCAACATTGTTTTGACTTTTCGTCTTAGTTGTATCTGTCTTTTAGGCATTAGGTTGTTATTGGCTTTGTTATATTCATTTTTAGTTGCCAAGTTGCTTGTTCTCATATCAGTTTTATTAAGGGTTAGTTTATAAGGATCTTTTTACTATGGGCACTTTCTGTTCCCTATTGACTTATCTCAGTATCATTATGTTATTGTTCTATTGAGAGTAATTTCGCCTATATCGCCTGTGAAGCTTTTTAGCTTATATAGGCATTCACAAGGAAGCAATTTGTATTTTTTTGTTCTAATTTTTTGGTCTCTTGTTATGTATATTTTTGTGTGCTCCTCTGTGAATAAAGAATAAAGATTAGTTATTTGAGTCAAATGACGCTGGAAATTCTCATTCGAACAATTCCAAAAGAAGTAACGCTGTACCTCATTAATATCTATGTTCAGTTTCTGAACATTTTCAGTCAAAACGCTCATCTTAGCGACGTATTCAAAAGTATCTGCGTTAGGAGACAATTTCAATTCAGACAACTGTTTAACAGTGTTAAAAATTTGAATATCTGGACTAGAAAGTGCTGTTATGAGTAAATCCTTAGCATGGGAATAACCCTGCTTGGTTGCCTCTAAAGAGTTTACTAAAATAAGAGCGCGTCCGCTAATTTGCTGTTTGAGTAATAGCCATTTATCGTAATCAGGATATGAATGATTTGAAATGATCTCCTCAAACTCGGCAGAAAACTTGACTAGGTCTTCATTTTCGGCGCTTCTAAATTTAGGCAAAGGTGCGGTCGGGCTCTTTACTACGCGCATCGTCAACGGAAAAATTTGACCGGCTCTGCGGCGCATCGTGCAGTAAAGAATTGCATTCGCGTAATTTCACTGCATACTCCTCACAAGCTGCAAGATCGCTTTCGAACCACGATTCGTCACCATCTGACCAAAGAAGATTCTGAATTTGAGCATCAAGATCATTAAGCTTTAATTTATGTTCTGACAGAGCAGACAAAATTTCACTCTTCTCCAAAGGAGATAGAGCGTGAAAATTGTGTCGAGCATCGCGCTTCTCCGTCACTAATTTACGGATATACTTCCGCATATTACTCAACTTATTGAGCTCAGACATGGTGAATCAATTCAAAAATTAGCACGAGAATATATAAAATACAAAATGGTTATCAAAAGATACAATGCAATACAAATGGAGAAATTAAGGAAGCCCGCCCGAAACTCTGGTCAGGAAAATGAACGCAATCGTGAACAGAGGCAGCAGCACCGAACAATTCACACACTTAATCCCGCTGAGGATGCCATGGACAAAACTTTGGGAAGCGAGAAACTAATCAAAAGGAATTGAGGTCAAACAAAACACGATTACAAGCAAGGTTTAAATAATCTTTTCTTTAATGAAAAAGAACTAAAAGGCATTAATGCCATCATCCCTAAACTTGTTCGGTACTGCCTCCAAAATTTGCGGTAGCGACTCCACTTCACTGCGTGTGAAGAGGCAATGGAGTTGCGCCTTGCTTCCGCGTCTGCCCAACCCGTAAATCCTGAACAATCAAAAACGAAACGGTGATTACAGAGATCATGGAAAAAAATGCTCGGACGTTAAAAGGGCTCAATGCGAAAAGGGTCCTTTTCCAGGCAAGGTGAGAAAAGGCTACGAATCGTAGCAAAAAGATTTTCCGAGTCATTAAAAAGGGTTTACCACACGTTCGTACAAGTTTTAAGGTTATTATTGTAATAATGTTAGTAATTCATTAAATGTTTAATGGAAAAGATGCAAAACTGATAATTACGGGCTTATATTTTGTTCGGGTCATAAGTGAAAGGGAACAGGATTTAGCACCTCATCACCGCCTACTCCGTGCCTACTAAAGTGGGTGACGTACCTGAAGTACTAAAAAATCCCTCGGTGAACGTCGGTGCGTAACTGGTCCAGCGGCTGGTACACACCCGCGCAGATGTTGCCGGGGCCAAAAAACGTAGTCGTAGTCAACGTGGTAACCAGAAGTACCGGATGAGGTCATCGTAGTGCTGACAACACCAAATCCAGCACGTGCCCAATGCTCACATCCAAATCCCAACCGTATTCGGGCGAGGCTTCCAAATTAAGCTTTTACTCCATGAATGCTAGAACAGGTTCGAGGCTGTACATCTCGGTCGCGTATCAATGAAGATCCCACATGGAAATAGGAACTGACGTGACGTTACAGTTGCACCATGGGAGTTACGCTGATTGAGTCAAGAGTCGAACTGCTGAAGATTCTCAAGCAGGGGTGAAGTGAAGCAGCACGGACGATATTAGTTTCACCTCAAATGTACACGTTAAAACTGCATGACGCGTCACCCCAAGTAAAGCACAGAGTAAGTAGTAATGAGGCTATAACCCGAAAAGCTTTAACTACTCAAAATTATCGAAAAACAAATCTTAGTTTTGTGTTTATGGGTAGCTAAGAGCTCGGTGTGACTCGTTCAGGCAAACCCTTGTCACACCTTCAGGACACACTTGTCACATTTTAATGACACACATGTCATACTCACAGAACACATTAGTCATATACTCAGAACACTTTAGTCATACACTCATGACACACTTGTCATACTCTCAGGACACACTTGTCACACTCTCATGATGCTAAGAAGTCGGAAAGGAGATCCTGATCAGAAGTTGATTTTCATTGTGGGGCCAAGCAGACCCGAATTAACTCCAAGCCGAATATTGCGACTCTAGGTCAGACGCCAGAAACATTAGCCGATTTTTGTTAAGGAAGAGTGCAATTCAGATCTAGTGAACTCGATGACATTCGTAGCAAGAGATCCAGTAACGAGAGTTGCCATCAGTTTACAAAAACACTACGCCACAGTAACTTGCACGACGCCACAGCAACATGAACAACGCCACAGCAACATGGACGACGCCACAGTATTTACCTCCTAATTATTATTGTATTTACCCTCCCACTTATTATTGTATTTACCCTCCAACTTACTATTGTATTTACCCTCCTACTTACTATTGTTTTTACCCTCCTACTTACTATTGTATTTACCCTCCTATTTACTATTGTATTTACCCTCCTACTTACTATTATATTTACCCTCCTACTTACTATTGTATCTACTCTCCTACTTACTATTGTATTTACCCTCCTACTTACTATTGTATTTACCCTCCAACTTACTATTGTATTTACCCTCCTACTTACTATTGTTACTCTCCTACTTACTATTGTATTTACCCTCCTACTTACTATTGTATTTACCCACCTATTTACTATTATATTTGTCCTCCTACTTACTATTGTATTTACCCTCCTACTAACCATTGTATTTACCCTCCTACTTACTATAGTATTCACCCTCCTACTTACTACTGTATTTTCCCTCCTACTTACTATTGTATTTACCCTCCTGCTTACTATTGTATTTACCCTCCTGCTTACTATTGTACTTACCCTCCTAGTTATTACTGTAATTACCCTCCTACTTACTATTGCATTTACCCTCCTACTTACTATTGTATTTACCCTCCTACTTCCTATTATATTTGTCCTCCTACTTACTACTGTTTTTCCCCCCTACTTACTATTGTATTTACCCTCCTGCTTACTATTGTATTTACCCTCCTACTTACTATTGTATTTACCCTCCTACTTACTATTATATTTGTCATCCTACTTACTACTGTATTTTCCCCCTACTTACTATTGTATTTACCCTCCTGCTTACTATTGTATTTACCCTCCTGCTTACTATTGTATTTACCCTCCTACTTACTATTGTATTTACCCTCCTACTTACTATTATATTTGTCATCCTACTTACTACTGTATTTTCCCCCTACTTACTATTGTATTTACCCTCCTGCTTACTATTGTATTTATCCTCCTACTTACTATTGTACTTACCCTCCTAGTTAATATTGTATTTACCTACTACTTACCATTGTATTTTCCTCCTACTTCTATTGTATTTTTACTCCTACTTATTATTGTACAGGTACAAACAATAAACCAAAACATTTCACAAGCTGCAGACGACGTACAGGCTAAACTCCCCAATGAATCCCCACACATTTGTAATCCCCCAGGCTGCTGGAGGTGCTGCTGTACGTGGTGGCGGCCCTCAGCAGGGACAGCCCCCGCCACCTCACGCGGCGGTGGGGGGAGCTGAAGGAGGCCCTGCTGGACGCCGGCATCACCGCCGCCCGCAATGTGGAGGCCTGCGACGCGGAGATAATGGCAGAGCTCGTCGGGGGCGGGGAGACGTGGCGCGTCAGGAACGGTGGGTGACGTGTTGGATATGATGGGTGACGTGTTGAGTGTGATGGTGACGTGTTGGGTGTGATGGGTGACGTGTTGGATGTGATGGGTGACGTGTTGGGTGTGATGGTGACGTGTTGGGTGTGATGGGTGACGTGTTGGATGTGATTGGTAACGTGTTGGGGTGATGGGTGACGTGTTGGGTGTGATGGGTGACGTGTTGGATGTGATGGTGACGTGTTGGGTGTGATGGTGACGTGTTGGGGTGATGGGTGACGTGTTGGGTGTGATGGCAGACGTGTTGGATGTGATGGGTGACGTGTTGGGTGTGATGGGTGACGTGTTGGATGTGATGGGTGATGTGTTGGGTGTGATGGTGACGTGTCTGAGCGTGATGGGTGACGTGTTATGTGTGATGGGTGACGTGTTGGGTGTGATGGGTGACGTGTTGGGTGTGATGGGTGACATGTTGGGTGTGATGGGTGACGTATTGGGTGTGATGGGTGTCGTGTTTCGTGTGATGGTTGACCATTTGGTGTAATGGGTGACGTGTTGGGTGTGATGGCTGACTTCTTGAGTGTGATGGGTGACGTGTTGGGTGTGATGGGTGACGTAATGAGTGTGATGGGTGACGTGTTGGATGCGATGGGTGACGTGTTGGTTGTGATGGGTGCCGTGTTGGGTGATCGTCGCGGGTGAAAGCCTGGCGAAGTTCTAACCAAATGAAAACTAAGTAAGGGTATACTACTATTATATTAATACCCTATATTATACTACTAAGTATAATATAGGGTATTAATTATGTTTAATTTTATTATGTTAAATAATATACATATAATATTATTTTTCTTGCAATTAGTTTTATAAATGTGATATAATATGTAATATAATATAATATAACATAATATAATGCAATATAATAATAAAATATTACAATCCTAAATGATTATATTGAATTAATATATAAATGATAAGATAATGGCGCTCTGTCATTGGTCGCCATTTGTGGGGCAATGATAGCGGCACACAAGATGGCGGCTGCTGTCATGCCACATGCCACATGCCACGCAGGATATTCACTGCCGCACTCCCACAGGGATGAGTATGTTCGCCTCCACATCAGGCGCCTTATGCCCCCGGGGGGACCAGCGGTGCCCAGTGACGCCGAACTGCAGGACGCGTATCATGGATACCTGCGCCGCCGAGGACAATAACGTGTGTTTTGTGTGGGATTAATGAGGCTGTATGTGTGTTTTGTGTGGGATTAATGAGGCTGTATGTGTGTTTTGTGTGGGATTAATGAGGCTGTGTGTGTGTGTTTTGTGTGGGATTAATGAGGCTGTGTGTGTATTTTGTGTGGGATTAATGAGGCTGTATGTGTGTTTTGTGTGGGATTAATGAGGCTGTGTGTGTGTTTTGTGTGGGATTAATGAGATTGGATGTGCGTTTTGTGTGGGATTACGAAGACTGTGTGTGTGTTTTCCGTGTGAATAGTGAGATTTGTGTGTTTTGTGTGGGATTAATGGAACTATATAGGTATGTGCTTTGTATGACGCAAGGATGTCCCTCGCTTTACTGTCATTAATATATAACCTAACTAACTCCCTATAGCCAGTCAATCTGCAGTTCGATATCATTTTATTTAATTAGTGTTTATGCGATTCTATTTTTACCGTAATTAGTTTGATATTTTGTTGAACGAGTTTTAATCTATGAACAAAATTCTTGTTTTATTACAGAGCAGAGCAGAGTCACTCTCGTCGCTTGTGACGATATATGGAATGATGGTGATGGCGATGGTGATGGTGATGGCGATGGTGAAGGTGATGGTGATGGCCGTGTCTGCACTTCAGAATGGATTTGACAACTCCTGGGTTCGTTCTTCTATGAATTAGATTACGTTTAGCGGAATATCCGAGAGTGTTAATTTGAAACTGATTGCTGCAGTTAGGTTTACGGTGTGCGATTATCAGAGAAAATTTTGCTCTTCGACGCAAGGGTCGCAGTCTTTTGGCCCGTACGCCTATCCTAAAAATTGTTGTGAAGTAGCAGGAAAAGTCTTGCGAAAACGTTATGGAGATGAATATTAATCAAGAATTACATAATTATGTTGATATAAATCTTTTGTAATATGTATTAAGTATGAAATTGTTATTCCTGAGCCTGTAAAACTGTTAGAAGTGTTAATTAATTGATGCAGAGATCAAGAAATGGATAGAAAGGAATTGTCCAGAAATGAACCCGTCAGCGGGCATCGCCTGTGGGGATCGTTCAAAATTGTGATGTTTCTTTGCGTTTGACCGTCGATTTTTGGAAAGTCAATCATTTTCTCAAAACAGACAAGTTTTCCAATGCCAAATGCTGAAAGTGTGGTTAATTAGACTCAAAACTGAGCTAAGTGCATTGAAAAGCTAGGCTTAACTTAAGCATTTCCATAAATGCCTTGGACTGATCAATTAATTAAGTACGAGTATACTACTTTGGTAATTATAATGTTCAGTACGAATTCAATATTCCCTTTGTTAGAAAATGTATGGACTTATTTGCAATACTTATGATTATTTGATCTTGATTTACTGATTTATATTTTTGTCTTGATGTGTTGTAACATTCATTTATTAGCGTTACGTTGTTATCCCTGTAGTTATAAGAGCGTAGTGAGCCTCTTGTTGCTCACGTCTTCAGCCAGGGCGTTTCTCGCCACCAAAATTACATGCGGGATTAATTAGACTTTCTGTTATGTGTGGGATTTACTAGACCGTATTTGCGTTATGTATGGCATTAATTACTCTAATAAACACGTGATTAAATTTGCCACGCTCGTTTCATTCGCCATAGTCGCCAGGGACTCGGCGCCTGAATCGTGCTAGGTACCATGAGATGAGATTGGACAAAACTTTGAGGAACGAGCTGATAAATGAAGATATAGGCAAGCAAAACAAGAATGGACTGGAGGCTAAAGAAATCTTTTCTTTATTTAAAAAGTTTCAAGATGGTATAAATAGCCATCAATTCCACGAGATAGTTAGTTTGGTGCTGCCTAATTTTGGTAGCGGCTCCTCTTCAATAAGCGTTATTAAACAATAACACAGAACAACTTAATCCTACAATCAGCCTGCTAGTATTTGCCTAGTATTCGCCTAGTCTTTGCCTCGCTATCAATTGCTGCGAGGCGTCGCACTTTAATCGTGGAAGAAACTTCAGCAGGCTGAGCGTCTTTAATGTCACTCGATTCTTCCTGATCTAAAGAAAGCAATGGAATAATTTTAGTTACCGACGGTACGGTGTTTGCGGAATCCCTGTGCGGTAAGCAAGGCAAATCTCTCATAATCTGCCTTACGTCTCCCTTAAGCATGATACCATGGGGAGTCCGAGAGAAAAGCGAGGACCCTTCTGCCCCAAACACCACCTCAGACTCAGGCAAGCAATGTCCGCTCTTGGTTCCAAGAATAAACTGAACATTTGTTATACAATCGTTCCCTGAGAGGAGAAAGTCATCAGCTAGCAAGTATCCCCGCTTGACAAATGAGTAAGCTATCTGGGATAAACAAGGCAAATTCAATGAAACATTAATTACAGGGAGGCACAAAGCCTCAAGAACACATTCCTTGGTTCCAAAACCAATTTTCACTTCGACCAATCTGGTTGAATAGTCGCGAGAGCTGTTTATCCCATTCACCGTCAATGGAACCTCTTCCTTGACGATTCTTAGTTTCAGTTGATCGGCAAGATCAGTAGTTATAAAGTTCGATTGGCAGCCGCTATCTTTCAGACCACGAATCTCTCGTTTGCCCTGAACAAGACACGTGAATGTTGGCAAAATTGATTCGCTATCCACGCTACTCTGAAAAGCATTCGTGCTGGCTGTACTGACACTACTGGAGGCTTTAGCGTCCTTGTCTTTCAACCCTCGAGTTGAAGGGAGTTTAGGCGTGACATCAGGCGTTTCCTTTACATTAGAATTGTTACATGTGCTGCAAAGAAAATTGAAATGCCAACCCAAGCAGTGTCTGCACTTCTGATTAAATCTATACTTGCAGAATTCTGAGGTGTGACCCAAATCAGCGCATTTGATACAAGCATTCAGTCGTCTGAGTTCGATCAGCTTAGCATCAGCCGTTGGGAACCTAGAACATTTATATATGGGATGCGAAACTTCAACATTTGAATCGTGAAAACATAAAGAACAAGCCCTGTAACCGTTAGAATTATTTTCGTCACCTTCAACATTCACGGCCAGGCTGGTTGGGCTGTAGGAATCGCCTCCTGAAGGACTGGATTTACAATGAGCTCTGGATAATTTCTGAGCAGCAATATACCTCTCCGAGGCTTCAAAGAATTTATCATTAATCTCCTGTAAGGAAGGTCGGGTATGATTAGTTATTTGAGTCAAATGACACTGGAAATTCTCATTCAAACCATTCCAAAAGAAGTAACGCAGAATCTCATTAATATCTATGTTCAGTTTCTGAACATTTTCAGTCAAAACGCGCATCTTGGCGATGTATTCAAAGGGATCTGCGCTATGAGATAATGTCAATTCGGACAACTGTTTAACAGTGTTAAAAATTTGAATATCTGGACTAGCAAGTGCCGTCATGAGTAAATCCTTCGCATGGGAATAACCCTGCTTCGTTGCTTCTAAAGAGTTTACCAAAATAAGAGCGCGTCCGCTAATTTGCTGTTTGAGTAATAGCAATTTATCATAGTCAGGATATGAATGCTTTGAAATGGTCTCTTCAAACTCGGCAAAAAACTTGACTAGGTCTTCATTTTCGGCGCTTCTAAATTTAGGCAAAGGTGCGGTCGGGCTCTTTAACAGACTACGCGCAGCGTCAACGGAAAAATTAGACCGGCTCTGCGGCGCATCGTGCANTAAGATGCCGGGGTCAAGGTAGTGGTCGCATCCAAAACGTCAGGTGTACCATCGAGGTAAGTCGTAGCGCAGACGACATCCACTTCAGCACGTGCCCACGCATGCGTCCAAAGTCCCGACCGAGCTCAAGCTAAGCTTCCATGGGTTGCTTTAATCCATAGTTTCCAAGGTGAACAGGAGCCAAAGATTCTTGAAAAGGTTAGTCCACACCATCTGACTTGAAGCGTAGACAGGAGAGTTTCAAAATGAATCTGGCCCAAAACAGCACCTTAGGAGTTGCTGCTGTGAGGTCAGGCAACGAACTGGCACAAATTCTTCAGAGAAAGTGAAGTTAAGTATTGGGCGAGATGTTAGTTTCAAGTGGAATGTGCACATTAAAACTACTTCAAACGTCACCCAAATCATTTGTGGCACAGAGCAGGTGAGGATGGAAAATTTATGCCCGAAATTTATCAAACATTAAATTAATGAAAACTAAATCATAGTTTTTTGATCAGAGATGGTCACGGTCGTGATGGTGCCGAGTCCCGACCACGACACGTGCCGCCGTTTGTATTATTAGAAATCAAACAAAATAAATTATCAACATAACATTCATAATAAGAAAAAGATTTTCTTCCGTCAAACAAAATTACTAATTAACAATAATTTGTGTTCTGCTACCTTGGAAGAAAAGCAAAGCGTTGTTACCCATTGTGTTCCTCATGGAATTTAAATAATAATTTGCTTGACAGTGCGACTTCCCTGCAATGAAGCGAAAAACTAAATTTAAGAAAGTTTGTGAAAGTATTTAATAGGATTAAGATGATAGTCTTCAGAGTTGAAGGATATTTTTGTGCTTGTATTGAAGTTGTACATACCAAATTACATAATATCTGATGGTCTAACTTTTGTCCCGGCTCTAAAATCTGAAGAAAGAGGTTTTCACATCCATTGCGTTTAATAAATTTTATAAAAATATTTAAAATATTTAAAATATTCAAAAGTTCACACGTTGCAAGATAAATTTTTACTTTCGTCTGTCATTCGACCGAAAATAGAAAATTTAAACTTGATCGTAGAAAACGAATTCTGTAGGAAAAGTTCGTCCGTACAAGACAGGCGACCTGCGCCCCCAGCCTGCGTCACACCAGACAGGCGACCTGCGCCCCCAGCCTGCGTCGCACCAGACAGGCGACCTGCGCCCCCAGCCTGCGTCGCACCAGACAGGCGACCTGCGCCC